GCCAATACAGGCCATCTCAACGAGCATAAGATCCATCTCAAAATGCAATGTATGCGACACAATCATGAATGTAATAACAACACCATAATTGTCAACATCTCAATACAACACCGTTGTTGACCAAAGGCCTACATCTTAAAAGCATCTCAACATCTCTTCATCAACATCATTCATCATAAATCATCGACCTTCATATATATATATATATATATATATATATATATATATATATATATATATATATATATATATATATATATATATATATATATATATATATATATATATATATATATATATATATATATATATATATATATATATATATATATATATATATATATATATATATATATATATATATATATATATATATATATATCATAATTCATCAAAATTCATATATATACATCATAATTCATCAAACAGAATCTCATTAACATCATCTCCTCAATAATTCATCCATACAGTAACACAACAGTACTCATTAATTTCACAACATTGGCCATAGGCCTATACAAGATATTGCATATAATTAATTAGTCAACTAAGGCTTACTTCTAGATCACCAAACCTCTACATGCTACTATTCTGTAGTATTACATCATTAATCCTACTGTTACAACCAAACAGCAATCTATATGCATCTCATCTTCGTCATTCTTCACAAAAATCGACATAACGATTAACGCGGGAATTAACTCTAGTCCTAATTGGGATACTGGAATTACACTTCCTATTCTTCATTTTAATCCTTAATAATAAATCTCATCGCGTTAGCTATTCAACTCTTCGAGCGGCACCTCAAACGGAGTCCGAAAACTCAAGATACGGTCTTTTCTAAACGATTCTGCCAAAAATCAGACAACATGGATCGATGCATAACTCCTTGGATCGGCGCGTACTGCACTGAACTCGAAACATGAGTCGACGCATCCTCTCTTGTATCGAATCATACTGAGTCTACCACACAGCATGTACCGATGCATGCCTCTATGTATCGACTCATCCTGAGTCTAAAAGCCCTCATGGATCGACACAAGACTCCTTCGTATCAACTCATCATGAGTCTAACATCGTTCATGTATCGACACACACCATTTGGGGTCGACGCATACTGTTCTATCTTGCATAATTTCTGCGATTTTCTCTGCATTTTCACTACGGGTTCCATACTTTAAGCCCTAAAAACTTAATTTAATCATGGATAATCATCACTTACAGTTATCCTATAATTCCACATTAAATAAACAGCATCTGGACATCATTATTCATCTATAATTCATCAATTCTCATCATACAACATCATATACATTCAATTCATGAACAAGACAACAATCACCTCTAACCCCGCATGCCAATTATCATGAACCCAATTATAGAGTCAGAACCTCACCCTTAGCTTGAATTGAAGGTCGCTCTATAATTTCCGGTTGAATTCATGTTCTGCCGTTCTTCCTCTTTTCCAACAGCTTTCACGTTCTTCTTTCCAACCCTTATTCCCCTACTGCCTCTTCTTTCTATTCTTTCTAACAATAATAGAATAACTTATTATTCCCTTTATTCCTTAATAGGATCAAAATTAATACACCCTCCTTATTACTTCTATTCCTTTAAAATAATCTCACATCAAATAATATTATACTTCTAACATTATTTCACCACTTAATAAAATAAATTAAATCCAACTAATCACAACACAATTTCTCAAATACTCCAAAAATAATTTAATTAAATAATTAATTAAATTACGGGCGTTACAGAATTCGTGTCTTGGGTTGCAAATAGTGTCTCTATTTATAGAGAAGAGGTTTGAAATGCTCAAGTTGATCAGAATTCAAAATCACACGTTAAGCTCAACATGTGATTTTCTTGAAAAAACAAGTTTCAATGCCTTGTACCTTTGATCATAGAGTGGTTAAACACTTTAATCAGAATGCTTCTGACCTTGTAGATGAAGTGTGATCAGAGGGAAGAAGTGGGAGGCTCAAGAATTGACTTTGTGCATAAAGCTTGCTTTTCAAGAATGGCAATGTTAACTTTCTCCCCAAAATGGCAAATTGACTTGGGCAATGCTTAAACCACTTAGATCATAGCTCAAAAGTTTGTGTAATCCATTAGTTATGGGTAGATACACAAGTTAAAAGCCCTGCAAAGAAATATTATGCAGCATGACATTGAGATTGGATTATGTGTTCATCAAGAAAATGACTTGTAATTTAAGAATGGATGTCCAACTTCATCTCTTCGAATCTCATAGCTCAAAAATGATATCTTCAAGTTTTTGGACATTTTAGAAAGCTTGAAACATTATATACAACCTTCATGTTGACCACTTTGGCTAAATCATCTTGGAACTAAGTGAAAATTGGTCAAGAAGTTAAGTCAAAAATCTATCTAAATTTGTTGAAATTTTCACTAAGCGTTTTTAATAAATGGTCATGACTTCATGAGCTTGTATCTTCAAATCTAAGTATTTTTTGGACATCAACCCTAAGGGATAAAGTTGTAGAATTCATCAAGATCTACAAATTTTATGTTGAAAGTTTTTCTTGAATCATCTTGCATTTTAGTGAAAAATTGTCATGAAGTATTGAAATTATCAAGGTTAAAAACACTTAGAATTTTTCTAAGTCTTTGAAAGCTTGACTTTTTTGTTGACTTTTTGACTTTCTTGATTCTTGATGATCAAGTTTGATATTTTTGAATTTCTTGATAAATTTTGATCTTTGAAATTTAATATTGACCAAAAAGTCAAAGTTTGACTTTTTGTGTATCAGTTGACTTTTCATCAGTTGATCAAATTTCAACTATCAATCCATTGATCTTGAGAAATGATTTGAGCCATGAAATTGGGTTAACATGTTATGCTTGAGTCCTTGAGATCATGTCTCAAGCCATTAGGTCATGTACTAGGTCAAAAATCACTGATCAGTCCTTCTCAGTCAAAATCCTAATTTTGACAAATTTGCTCCTTTGATGATTTGGGTGCTTTTCTTAAGGCATTGTGATCAATCCTTGGTCAATTGATAAATATCACTTCAAAATGTTGATGTTGGCCAAAAATCATGAAGTTTGACTGTATATTGATCACAGTTGAATTTTTTACCCAATACAGCTGATTTTCAGTCATCTGAGCAATTGATTGATCAAATTTATGATGCAAGGCTTGAAATTTGGTATGAGCAATCTTAAAGACCTATAATGAACCATGAAAGTCATTTGAAGCATCAAAAGTCCAATTGTCCTTGAGAAAATCAAAACTCTAATTTGGAGGCTCGGTGCTTAGAATGTGAGCTTATCTGATCAAATCCTTGAGAATCCTTAAACATTTGAGATCTTTGGTGAAAAAATATCTTGAGAAAAGAGAGAGTAAATTTTGGGGTACAACACCTCCCAACTATTGAATGTGCGTTAGGAACAAACTGTGTCTTTGCGAATGAAGTGAGTTATTCTATGAAACTCCTCACAGTTGATTATGCAAATCCTAAATGTCTTCTCAGACATAAATTGTCTAATTACATGGAATGTGAACAAAGGTAGTGATGTGGTTTTGAATAATGATGGCAAGAGCCTCTGTAATCTCGAGGTCTCGGATTTTGGTAGATTGATTTGTAATGTTGATTGTGCTTGATTTTACTGTTGTGCTGGTAATATTTAATATTCCTATATATCATTTATGTTGAACTGATGGCGCTCTATCATAGTTTGAGTATGGTTTGAAAATTTGATATCAAAAATCTTATGTGTTATTCTGACTCAAACTATGTTATCAAATTAATCTCAAAGTCCGTTAATATTTGGCATCACTATGTTGTGATTTTTCACAACATTAAAGAGTTTCTCTCTAAGAACTAACGAGAGTTCAACTGGTTCATACTATTTAGGGAGGGTAATATCAGTGGTGACTATTTAGTAAAGCATGGAACTGGTGAGTGGTGATCATGCCGCGTATTGATTTTTTTGGGGAACCTGCTGCTAGAATCTTCACTCTCCTGTTAACTTAACTGATGTATTGGAATTTTTCTAGATAATTTTCTGTCTTTATTTTCTTTTTGATCTTCTTTTCACTTGTATAAAAAATATGAGTAAATTCATTTCATAGATTGCTATGGGTTAAAAATGGATTGAAAGTAAAATAACTTCTATTTTAATAAATTTATGCAAAATAAACAGGAAGACATAAAAACCAATCATAAGTCGAAACATCTCATTTTCACTGTGAATTTAACATTAGGAAATGAGAAAGAAGGCACCTGGTAAAGATCCAAAACATAGCATTGGAGTTTTTATGTTTTGACAATCATAAATTTTCTACATTTAAAACAAAACACCCAATAAACAACAAAAATAATATGATCTTCTCCATATATTTTTATCATCCTATATAATGTTATTTTTCAGTTGATTTATCTGCTATGGTTTTCAAAAGAGATTCAGGTAACTTTTTTACTATATGATAATTCATTTAACTACTCTTCCAAATATTTAACCATATACAAAAGAAACAAGTTTCATTGGTGGAAAGATAAGAAGTTAGTGGGCAAAAGAAAAAAATACAATATTAGTAAGATAGAATAGAAGACATAGCAAAGTGGTGAGGCGCAGTCGGTAGGTTATAGCGACAGATAGAATGTAGAAAATTAGGTTTAGGTATAAAGTTGTTAAAATGCTTTAGACTTTCTAGGGATATTGCATTTGCATGCTTGGATGTGGAAGACAGCAAAAGCACACAATGTACGATTATTGGGCTATCTCTACTCTAGTGAGAGTGAGGGTACAATATCATATCGTATCACTGCGCTTTTGCAGTGTGTATGTATCTTTGTGTGTTTGCATAATGGGCCACGTTGTAGGGACATCCATTCTCACTATCCATGTGCTTCAACCACTCTTTGCCTTGAACACGTCTTGGCAATCACTATAAATACCCTTTAAACTTGTTTGAATATATACCAAGCCAGCTTTGTGGGAATTCGTCTTCAGAGTTATATCCCAGTATGGCTTATATACAAAGAGGTCCCGTTGCTGTTTTCTTAGTGTTGTTGGCTTTAGGCGTGTGTTCTGCTAGAAGGGCTCTGCTCAATTTTGATGCTGGAGGTGGCTATGGTTTAGGCCATGGCATTGTTGGTGGAGGTGGTGGAGGAGGATCGGGTGGTAGTGGCGGATATGGAGGAGGAGGAGGAGGAAGTGGAGGTGGTGGGGGAGGAGGAGTTGGATATGGAGGTGAGCATGGAGTTGGATATGGTGGTGGGGGTGGAAATGGTGGTGGTGGAGGCTATGGTATTGGAGGAGAGCATGGTGGTGGGTATGGTGGAGGTGCGGGAGGTGGAGGTGGAGGTGCAGGAGGTGGAGAACATGGTATAGGATATGGAGGAGGTGGTGGAAGTGGTGGTGGAGGTGGAGCTGGATATGGTGCAGGAGGAGCTCAAGGAGGTGGATATGGTATTGGAGGAGGAGGTGGCAGTGGTGCAGGAGTAGAGCATGGTGGTAGTTACGGTGGTGGTCAAGGAGGTGGAGCTGGAGGAGGCTATGGTAATGGTGGAGAGCATGGAGGTAGTTATGGTGGTGGTGAAGGAGGTGGAGGTGGAGGTGGAGCCGGAGCTGGAGGAGGTTATGGTGGTGGGGGAGAGCATGGTGGCGCTTCTGGGTACGGAGGTGGTGAAGGAGGAGGAGCCGGAGGAGGTTATGGTGCAGGAGGAGAGCATGGCGCTTCTGGACATGGAGGTGGTGCAGGAGGTGGAGCCGGAGGAGGTTATAATGGAGGGGGAGAGCATGGTGCTTCGGGCTACGGAGGTGGTGAAGGAGGTGGAGCGGGAGGAGGTTATGGTGGTGGGGGAGAGCATGGTGCATCTGGCTACGGAGGAGGTGAAGGAGGTGGAGCCGGAGGAGGTTATGGTGGTGGAGGAGAGCATGGTGCTTCTGGCTATGGAGGTGGTGAAGGAGGTGGAGCCGGAGGAGGTTATGGTGGTGGAGCAGAGCATGGTGCTTCTGGTTACGGTGGTGGTGAAGGAGGTGGTTCTGGCGGAGGCTATGGAGCTGGTGGAGAGCATGGCATTGGTTATGGAGCAGGTGGTGGAAGTGGAGGCGGAGGCGGAGCAGGCTACGGTGCTGGAGGAGCACATGGAGGTGGATATGGAAGTGGAGGCGGAGCAGGTGGAGGAGCAGGAGGTGGAGCATATGGTAGCTCCGGAGGAGGCGGCCATGGTGGAGGAGCTGGATATGGAGAAGGTGGTGCACATGGTGGCTATGCTCCCTAAGAACTAATATATCAAAGTGTCCCCTTTGATGCATCAAGAATAAGTACTATATATGTTATTATTAATAAAATAATATTCATAATTCATATTTATATTACAAGAGCGAGATCATAATCTCATGATTTATATGTAACAAAAATATTTCTACGATTATTAATTGTAATAATATGAAACTATTCTGAACTTTTTGCTTGCATTTCTTAGTACTATACTTCCTATAAAAGAAGTGGTAACATCTAAATTACAAACATGACTTTATTAAAAGTTCCAAATAGATTGTTGTTTTTTTCATGCATGTCTCTACTTAATATCTTGCCTTGATTCCTCAGAAACTGCCAACTGAGGTGTTGCTGATGACAACATTGAAAATTCTCTAGAAGAGCTGTCGTCGTTACGGATCATCTTCTGTTTGCTTTTGATCATATCAATTCTTCCATCTTCATTCATCATTAAAATGTTGCATGGAATTTTTTTAGCATAAAATTCTCTGTTCCTTCTATGAGATCTGTTTTAAATACCATTTCCTCACATTAATTTCACAATATGAATACCAAACATAACTTCAATAGTATTAAATTCGAACAATTAATCATCTGATGAATGTACCTATCAAACAACACCCATGTTGGACAAAGAGTGACAAGTTGTTCCACGACCAGCATTCGCAGAGGATAACCCATTACGATTTTCTTCTGTGGCACAACCTAAATTGCAATAATAATCAAGATTACTTCATAATGATATGATTGTAATGGTAAGTTTGTATTGAAATGTGATTGTAAAGTGATAAAAATATTTAATACACCGTATTTTCTGCAAAGATCTATGACAGCATGACACTTTAGATACTTATCGTTTCTGCACTCGTTTTTCTCCTTCACTAGAGGTGGATCTTCCATCTCCACCATCCAAAAATCATTTCTTGTTTTCGAAGACACTACAAAAAAGTAATTACATAGTTTCACTTTCATGCACAAAGTATTTAGTATCACGGGAAGGAAGTTAATACCAGTGTTACTTATATTCTATCAGACTGTAATCTTCATAACCATAGAATAGATATTTGTGAAACAAATTATGGTTAATAAAATGACTGAATTAATTACACTCACAAGGAATGTTGAGCCACGGCATGACCCCAACAAGTGTGACGGCACACTCTACTGTGACAACATTGTCGAGCGCCCATTGAAGAGGCTCTGTGGTGAACTCTGTCATTCCATCCATCACAACCACAACATGTTTGTTGGTGTTTTCTGGACTTGTAAAGTCGTGATCAGGGGTATCATTCTCAAGTGACTTCTTGTCCCATGCAAGAAGCTTCAACATTGTATGGTAAGAATATAAAAACAACTATAACTCAGAAGTAATTGCATGTATAAACTATCAACAAAAGAGCGAACAGGGAAAGGGATTTATTGTAGGCATATCAATTCCTTTTATAGAACTCAGACCTCCACTGCTCAGAATGCAATACAGACAAAGTGCTTGACATGATCAAGAGCTGCTTAGTAATTGATGTTTTAAATGTTGTATTTATTGAAGAATGACTACATACAAAATTCTTGCCCTCAGATATAATCAAGGTTAAATCTCAACAGTATCTATATTGTCAATTAAATTTGTATTGTATTAACTTGAAACTTAAACAGCAAAAATTTGGCCATGTGATAAACTATTGTATTTCAACCACTATTTGAAGGGGAATATGCCTTAAATCATTCTTGTATTATTTCTCATCACCAATGTTGTCGTTTCTAATATACTAATACATCCTTGTCCACAATTACTTTATGTATATGTTCTTCTCATGCAAAATGGAAACAAGGGGGTGTATTGTTGTGACTATACAATTTGGTGAGGTGTTGACAACTTTTAGCAAAAAGACCACAGATAAAGGTATTTTCACTATAAAAAAATATCAATTACACACAGCCAAATGCCTAAAGCCAAAGACTATTCATTGTGAAATTCCGGCTGCCACAGGGTAGCCACCAACAGAAGCATGGGCTGATTTCTTGCGAGCACTGTTGTTTCCTTTGACAGAGAGCGATGAATCGGTGTTTTTTCTCTTGTTCTCTGGGGAAGTTTTGTTATGACAAGAATTAACTAAGTCCAAAAATGCACCTCTCCTTGAACCAGGCATCTTCTTAAGATAAGAGATAGCAGCTTTTTTTCCAGGACTACCAGATGACTTATTTGACTTATTTGATGATGATCTTTTACTGCTCCCTTGATTCTCTGTCTTCACATGATCACGTGAGATCTGGAAACTCTTACCTGACAAATGCAACTCAAGGTTATCAAACAAATTAAATCATTAAGTTACAAGCGAAAAGACTATCAGAAAAAGTGTATCCAATCACCTGGAGTCTGAGAAGGGGGTGTGTTGGGAGGAGTAATAGAACTGAAAATATCATTCTCTAGGAAATCCAAAACACTAGTAGATTTGTTTTTGTCATGAGCACTGTTATCAGCATATGAACTCCCACCAGCCTTTGCAGTACCACTCAAGCTGGCATTATTCAAAGGTAGCACTTTGGAGTTGATATCTTCCAATCCTTTCACATTAAGAGTTTTCTGATTTGAAGGCCCAGCAGGTAATTGTTCACGGTGAGGAGAAGCATCGACAACATCATCAATTTTAAGCAACTCACGACTTTGTCGACTAGAATAACCAAACTTCTTTTCAGAATTTTTTTTGGATTCAATGGCCTCACTCATCTCAACATTTTCTTTTGAAATAGGAAATGACTTATCCTGGCCATCAGGGATATCTAAAACAGACTTGGGCGACGTATTCATCCTGCTCAAATCCAGGGATGGAATTGTAGATTCTGCAAACTCTGAATACCAAGGAGTACCCTGTCGAGCATAAAACAATATGTATGCTTCTTGAGACAGCACAGCCTTTTCTGATACCTTAGCAACCTGAATAATTTCCAGATATTACATGTTAAATAACAATATAAAAGAATGACAACTAGCCAATACAATTATTAAATAAGCACAAACTGTGTGCAAAGGAAACCAAATCATGAACAAAAAATATGAAACTTGCAACAAACCATAAGTGAATATTTTCAAGCTATGGAAGACTAGGATCCTAGGGAAAAATCTTGAAGAAACAACATATAAACAATGAACCATGAAGACTCCAACAACCTTTATTATTAAACATATTTGTAAATACAACTAAATCTCATTAAGGGGAACAGGTTTAGCAGATGCTACCTTTGAATCATCTAACTTATGCCATGTGTCTGGAGCAGTGCGAACAAAGCAGAAATAATGCCCCGAGTTAGATGAAAATCCAATATGCACAACAACTGCATATAGATCATATTTCAACGGTACCTGTCAACATAAAAATGAGTCAAAACAAAGAATGCACACAAGAAATGTAAGTGAGGAAATAACATCAAAACCCACATTGTTTTCATTTGAAATGGTGTAAGGCTGCAAGTCCAACTCCAATGGGAAATCAATATGCTTGTCGATCTTTTCAACAAAAACCCCATCTGTCTTAAACCTCTTTAAATGGAATGCAGCAATAGAAGGTGTCTGATTCAACATAAGCTGCTTCTCCATAGAAACTTCTTCATTGCAGCCCTCACATTTAAGCTTTTCATCAATGTTTTCCAACATAGTGAAAGATTCTAAAGCACTCGACAGAGAATCTACATTTTCTATTTCTAAACTCAAGTCAATCAATGGCTCATTAGTGTCCGAAGAGCGGCCACAGGTACAACATCGGAGCTGAAACATAAATACAAGGAAAATATAACCATTAGCAAACATATCATTATAAATCAAAGGGAGACAAACAGTAATTTAACAATGTATTTCTCAATTATACCTTGCTAACCAGGCTTCCTCCAAAAACTTTGTTTACAATATTCTCACCCTCAAAACTTGGATCATTCTTCTTCAAACTTAAGAAACACGAATCAAGCTTATCCAATGCACACTGCATAAATTCATGTGCATCCTCCTGTTGATGTCTTCTAAACATAGAAGAAAAATCTGATACAAGTCATGGATCCCAACCACAAAAAGTATAAAAGAAGCTAACCTTCTACGGTATTAATTAAAGGTTATATTTCACAGGCCAATAATATAACTAACAATCACTTCAAATTTTTACCAATTAATTAATGACAGAATTATTAATCCTTCCATTAAAAAGATTGGTCACAGCCCTACCATGAGACATTAAAAAAAAAAAAACAATGAATATGGTATTAAGGATACGCCTCAAATTATCCACAAGTATCTCAGGGGAGATAACAGTTCCAGTAGACTGCAAGGAACGTTGCATCTGGTAGCGGAAAGCACAAATAACACAGTACCCATTATGACCTGAAATTCCCAATCTAAAGGTTAAAAGTTTCAAGGGAAAAAAAAACACTGCATATATGTTTTAATCATACTAAAAATTAATCTTATAAACATCTAAACTCCTTGAATTGTAAAACCCCATTGCATAATAACACACTTATATATTTTTCACCCATCAATCTAAAGCTAAAATTAATAAAACGAACGCTGCGAATAAATTAAAACCAGGGAAACTGACCATCAGAAGAATGGCTGCACGAAAGAAGACCCTCAACTAGAGGCACTGTATGAGTGAAGCATTGCGTAATCGAGTTGAGAAAACAAGTGTTCCCAAGGTTAGCAAGCCCAGATCCCTGTTAAACAAATAGATCAGCAACAAAAATTCAAAAACAAAAACACAAAACATATGCAGGTATGCCTGGTGGTATGTCTGGTGTCTGACACTAAAACAGTTACATTCAATTATTCTACAATTAATTAATAAGCCAAATCTAAATAAGTGAAAAACAATGAAAGAAACACTTACAATCATCGACAGTGCAGCTTTAGAATCTGAACCATAAACCTCACTCTTAGACGGTTCATCATCATACGACCAACTATCTTCGAGAGCATCCTCGGAAAACCATGGTTCCGACAGCTCATCAGCAGCCGGCGCTGAATTCAGAGGTTGACAGTCAGGATCCAACTCCTCCGGCAAAATAAAGTCCGAATCGCGGTTGAGTATGTCATAAGAGGCTGCCTGTTTGAGATCCTCCTCCCCGGGTTGGATAAGTGCCGCCATAAGAATGTCTGACAGTTCATCGGAAGAGTTAACCGGAACAGGAGATTGAACGGAAGCTTCGTCAAGATCTGTCAACGTAGGATTCACTCGATCGACGCCGAGTGGTTCCGAAAGTGAACTCGCCCTTGAAGGAGAATTTGGACCAGACATTGAAGTTTGAATCGAAATTTCAAATTAGGGTTTCAGAACAAACGGTTAAAAAACCCTAAAAAGATTGAAAAATAATAAACGAGTCGATTCAGAGAACGAGAAGCGTGGAGTTTCGAAGACGTGAATTTGTTGAGAGTTGAAATTATGAGAAGAGAAAGAAAAATGGCGAAATTGGTTTGGGGAAAAAAGGGTTTTGTGAAGATGAAAAAGAAGAGGGAAGATGAAAAGTTTTAAAAGTGAAGAGAGAAGAAAATTTGAAAGAAGAGGGAAAATCTAAATGATTTGGCACCAAAATAAAAACTCAAGAAAATGAAAACGACACCGCGCGCTCTTTCTCTTTCTCTCTCCAAATCTCTCTCTGTAACCAACCTCTCTAATGGACACTGTTTTTTTTTTCTCTTCTATCTATCTGAGTAGGATTAATTGTTTTCTTTGATAATACTAATGAAATGTTTCTAGGCGATTTATATATGGATTTGATTTAATGTTTTTTATTCATTGTTTTATTAATAAAATGGAAAATCGTGTGTATTTGGAATATAATTATTAATTATGCTTTTATAAAATAATTTTATAAGATAAGTGACAGTGAGATTATATCTTGGTGGAGAAGATTTTGAATAAATTAGTATATTATGAATAAAAGGTAAAAACATTTATTTAGTATTTAATTTTAAGTAGAAATGTCATAAAATTATTTAATTTTTTTAAGATATTTTTTATTGTTTTTTTAATTAAAATAATGGAACTTTTTATGGAATAAAGTTAATATTTTCAACAAATCACATTGACTCAAATTGTTCTTTTTTTTTACGCAATTATCTACCATTCTGACTGAAAAAGTTGAATCTAAAATAATAAATAAAATCATTAATATGATATAAAAAATAATATTTAAATTAATACAAAATATGTGTTGAAAATATTTGGTAGAAAATCAGAAAAATATAACAACATTGTAAATTTAAATTCATATACTCATATGTAAATTGTATTTGTCTATCTTGATAAGAAAAAATATAAAATATAATACACTTATAAAAATATCTTACATTTTATATTTTATGTCTCTCCATTGAAAATAATATTACTTATAGAAAAATCATAAAAATATAAAAAAAAATATTTAAATTATATTTATTCATTTTTAATAAAAACAATATGAAACGTAAGATACATTTTAAATTTAAAATGTAAAATAATGTTAAAAAAATAATATTATTTTTTTAATAAGTAAATAAAATTAATAAAAAGTATAAGAGATGTTCACCTCATAGATACAAAAAAAATAATCGGGAGAACAAAAACTCCTGACACAACCAACTAAAGACCGATAAAAATCAACTCAAAGTTCATCTGAGGTCAAGACACTAGTCCAACCAAAATAAAGAAATCATAATTTTGAAATAAGAAAAAAATCAATCTCAAGCAAGCAATTTTGTCAAATCTACCCCATCAAAGTTGGACAAACTACTTCCTTTAAAAAGGATATCATTCCTACACTTCCAAATAATCTAACAAGTGATTAAATCAAAAAATCAACTCGTATCTAAAATAAAAATGGACTTACAAGCATATTTCAACGAAATAAGATGATTCAAAAGAATAGGAAAAAAGATGAAAGAGTGAGCTGAAGCTATCGGCAAATATGAATCCACCACATCTTCGAAACTAGACAAGTCAAAAAGATATGGTCTAAACATTTCTCATTCCCAAAATAAAGAGGACACACCATGTTGTTCGCTCCACTAATCACCCCACGCTTAAAAAGCTCTGACTTCGTTGGAATCCTATTCTAAATTAATCTCCAATCAAAAATATAAATTCTACTAGAAACCAAAGTTTTCCACAAACTAACTAAAGTTGGAGAAATATGGACATCTAACTCCCAAAAAACAAATTTTCTCTCAAAATACAATCATAATAATTACTAATAGTAAACTCATCATTATTTCTCCACCAAACAAAGGAGTCTGTTCTTGAGTGAAAAGGATGTTAAATACGAGTATATCTATTTATAAGAGTAAGATTTTTTTTTATTCAATGTGATTTTGTCTTATTAAATTTTTTAAAAAGTATTTTTAATGAGACAATTTTTTTAAATTTCCTTTATATTTTTTCTTAGTAAAACTTTAATGAATGAACTGTATTTTTAATAAGACCATTTTTTTATTAAAAAAAATTCCATTTTTTTCTAGTAAGACTTTAAGAACTGTATTTTAATAAACATTTGGACGAAAGTGTTAGTGTTATGCAATTGGTGAATATTTAATCATTGAATTTCATATTTAATGATGGCCTATAACTTTTATGATTTTACTCGTTAGTTACCTTTAATTTCATATTGGTAATAGCAAGTATTAAAAAAAGATAGATAAGATCTTCTTACCATAATTTAATAACAAAATAAAACTAATTTAATAAGTACTACTACATGTTTAGTTTCGCATAACGTTAAAGAAACGTAGGGCAAAAAAAAAACACATCAATAAATAGCTACATTTTGTTGCCTTTTCTTTTTCACGTTAAATTTCTATTTAAATGTGCTTCTACGATTGTGAACATATAACCAAAGTACCAAATGTTCTATATAGCGACATACGAGCAACACGTTATGAGCATGATCGGTTCTAGCATGTTCTTCCTCTAAAATTCTCTTATGAGCTGGTCTAGGTGGATTTTCTAGAACATTATGTACCAAATATGGATGTGACACCTAAAAGAACCATCAGATGTAATTGTATGTGTAGCTTCAGTCGTTTGGTGTTATGGTATTGCGTGCCTCATCTGGTACCAGATGATTAACACAATCATCAAACATGGCATCCATATCTCTGCGTTTCACCAGGGGAGAAGCATACAGAGTAGGATCTCTATGAATGTATTGCATATAGATGAGCTAACGCAATGCACACAGACATATGAGGAGTCGTCAGACGCGACGCGTAAGCCAACCATCCCAAGTATAAAACAATGTTATCAAATGGAATCGTCACACTGTGATCAGATTATGTATGGAAATGTATATCCTCAAAGACCAAGCGGTCAATATAAACCCTGAATGGCTCTATCGACTGGTTCCCTTTGAGCGGGTCGAATGCAAAAGCATGTGACTTATCCTCAGTATAAGTCGTCACAAGTGACCAATCAAAGATGTGTGGCAAGTGTTGTAGGATCCAGGCCTAAAAAAACAAGAATAATTAGTTTGTAACGATGTTGCAGTAATTAACAAAATGGCACACAATCAATAGAGGACTAAGAAATGTTATCGTCAAAAGTCTGATATTGTCGGTCACCTGCTTCGTCTTCCACATACAACCTTAAAATAATTTAGCGTACAAGTAGACCAAACAAGAGGTCCCCTAGTTGTACTCATGGATCCGCTCAAAGTCCTTAAAGTACTGTAGGTATATGACATCCACATAAGTGGCACTATTATTCACAAAAATGACAGTGCCAACCTGATAAGTGTTTGATTCATGGTGAATTATCACATTAAACATTTTATCTTACTTGAGTTATTAGATTCTAACATGAAAACCCCAATTATTAAAATAGAATAGTTTTGTGCAAGTTTACTCTGGTCTGGTTTGCATTTGTGCCGATTATGGCCTTTAAACAAACTCCGGAAATTATAAACTTCGCTAAGCGAGAGAAAGCGAACTCCAGTGAAGACCGCATAAAAAGTTACAAAACTCAGAATTCAGACATTTCGCTAAGCGAGGTATAACAAGCAGTGGAAAAGTGAAGCACAGGCAAATCAATAAAACTTCTCTTGAAGCGAGGATCGGTGAAGCAAGTTCACTTAGCGAGCTAAACTTCATTAAGCAAAATTTGGCGGTTTCAGAAGGCAGTTTGAAAATACTTAAGGAAGAAGAAAAGTAAGTTCGCTAAGCAAACTTAACAAAACTAAAATGTTATAAATAGGGACAAAATCAATTCAGTTAAGACATCATATTTTATCTTGTATAATACTTTGTAATATCAGTAAAGAATAGTAAAAAGGGGAGAGATGAAGTAAGGAAGAAGAGTTGGATACGCATCAAGATTCGGAAAATCATTGTTGATGCTTGTTCATCTCTAATTCTTACATTGTGCATCAAGCTACCATGAGTAGTTAAATCCCTCTCTTGTTAAGATTGGTCGTAGTTCACTGAAACGGTATGCATTTTTATTGATCACGACGTTATATGCAATACATTTATGAATTTATATTGATGGTATCTTCGTTTTACTGTTTAATTTCATGGATTTGAATTGATATTGAGAAATATCATTCCAATCTTGATCCAAGATAATCATTTTTTTAAAATCTAAATGCTATACATATGTTTAGGTTTAATATTCACTGTAAGTATCAATTCTTAATGATGTCTTATTATTTAATAGGATGAGAAATCGTCGATTAAACTATAAGGTAGAAACCTCATCAGAAGTTTAGACATAAACTTTATTTGTGAGTGATATCTGATGATATTGATGCATACTTAGATTGTGTATAATTGATCAGTGATTTACATATTTAATCAGTGGATGAAATCCAATCCCAATAATCTTATCTCTTTGACAAATTTCTTTATCAATTATATGTTTTTACATTCGGTAACTTACAAATCAAATATTTTGCAAAACTTCTGCTTAAAATATAGTAACTGTTGGAACAATGTTAATTCTCTATTTTTATGATTGGAATTATATTTGGTAAAAGTAACTTAGCATTAACATGTTGAAGTAAGATGTTATATCAACTGGAAGAACATGTAAAATAAAATGTCTTATGCAGAATCATTCGACATCGTGACTGGTACAACTGGACAGTTAGATGTTATTAGTTTATTACAGATGCAGAATATTCTGAGAATATTATGATTTCCTATGTGGCGCTCAGTTTAAGGATTAATAGATTCAAGTTGAATTCAAGGAGTATTCTTAGTTTCTAATTATGGATATAATTTAGGAAACTAATTATTGAAGTCCTAATTTTATGCAGAAGTTTCTGT